ATTGGGCTAGCTAGCTATATCTAGTAATGTATCGTGTTAGCTAGCTATATCGCCCGATAGTAAATAACCCAATTCGAATTGCTAGCTAGGTATATCGGGTAGTATATTGAGTTAGCTAGCTAGATCGTCCGATAGTCGATATTTTTTTTCTCCTTGGGTGTATAAGGATAACTTTGAAATTCTGAAATTCTGATATTTTGTATGAGTGTGACTGTGTCACACGGTATAAGGATAACTTTGAAATTCTGAAATTCTGAAATTCTGACATTTTGTATAAGTGTGGCTATCCCAGACTGTATAAGGATAACTTTGAAATTCTGAAATTCTGATATTTTGTATGAGTGTGACTGTGTCACACGGTAGAAGGATAACTTGGAAATTCTGAAATTCTGAAGTTTCTCGTGCATTTGATGGTTATACTGTATAATGATAATTTGACAGCTCTGCACCAGAAGGATTTTTTGAAGATGGGAAGTGTTGGGAACTGAAAAGGGAAGCATTTGCGATCATTTCCACTTAAAATCATATTGGGCGATTTTCTAGCAGAAACCGTTTCCCGTCCTTTAGTAATTGCGAAATTAAAACGTTCCGACATTTAGAAATTTAGGCATTTAGACATAAGTAGAAGTTTGGACATTTAGAAATCGAGACATTCGGCCGTTTACAAGTTTAGAAGTTTAGATACTTACAAATTTAGAAATTCAGGCATTGACACGTTTAGAAATTTGGAAATTTAGAAATTCCGACGTTTAAAAGTCTAGATATTTACAAGGGTGCGCATTTACAGCTTTAAACATTTAGAAATCTGAACATTTAGAAGTTTATACACTTACTAATTTAGACAACTAGAAATCCAGACATTCGACCGTTTACAAGTTTAGAAGTTTAGATAAATACACTTAGACATTCCGACATTTAGAAGTTTTAGAAACTGTATAAGTTTATAAAATGACCTAAGGAAAGCTTTCAGATCCCGATCCCGTTCACGATTCCAGTTAGTCATTTTGAAATCTAAAAATGCTGAGAGTTCTGATTTTATTGAAAATTTACCCATTTCTTAATAAACTTTAAAATTTTAATATTTTTCAATTTTCTGCCTTACGACTGGCTTTGCTCTGTCCAACCGTGTATAAATATCGCGAAAAAATGTCAAGCGCTGTTTCTTCATGTTTCCACTATTCCGAAGATTTTTACTCTTTTTTTGTTTGAAACCCATGAGATAATTTTGTCATTCGAACCGTAGTTCCAATGCGTTGGAAGGAAAATTTATGAAATAACAGGTTGAACCGATTAAAGTCTTAACGGGCTTCAACATACTCATGATTTCAGAACGCACGGCAACGCGGTGAAATCGGTCAAATCAACTTGTTTCAACACGTTCCTTACTCAAAAGTGTTAGAATGTGGACGATACAGAGGAGGTTCGAACTCGTTTATTATGTTTTATCAAACGCGTTGGAACTTTCGTTCGAGTACTAAATTTATCTCATGGGAAGTCTGAACAATCAAATGTGCATCAAACAGAATTTTCTCGCTCAAAAACTTCATTGAGAAAAAATTCAAAAACAATATTATCTCGTGTAAAATTCATGGCGTATTCAATTTCTATTGTTGTTTCCAACTGTCTCAAATGGGGTACCTGGAAATATTCGTTGAAGCTTTTAGCAAAACACTGGAAAGTTCGCTTGGGATAGGCAGTTTTTGAAAACTTTTAGAGAGGCTTATAGTGAACTTTTTCCTCTACCTACCTGTAGAAGAAACACAAAAAGATGGATAATTAACAGATTTATACTAATTAGAAGTCCAAACAGTAAAAAATCATTTCTAATTGCCTCATTTTACTCTACTTAGACTGTTTTTCAGATGAGTGAGATGATGAATTTTGTTTCTTAGGTGCAATGTTTCTACGGTGGTTTTGATTACATGAGCTCATTACTTGTGATACAAAAGCTTGCAGAATTGTAGCCAACAGAACAAATTAAACACGTCTACATATGATGAAGATTAGGAGAGGAATTCCTGAGTTTGTGCTTCACTCATGTACTTTTAGCTATTTCTTCTTTTTCTATGAATTGGTTTTCTTTCATCCACATAGAGCTTAAACTAATTATCCGTTTTCGCATTTGCGCTTTCTTGAATTTCTTAGTGCCTCCTTGTCTTGCTTCTTCTGCTTTATTAATGTTCGGGATGATTATTTATTAAGCTGTAACCTTCATTGAACCTTTTTGTACATTTCTATGATTACGTTATAGTCCGTTTAAAGTTAACTATATTTTTCTTGAAAATGAAAATTTTGTCTGTCGAAACGTCGAATTATCACTACAAACTGAATAACGAATTTCAAAGTAGCTGCTATTATCATCTCTACCAAGAAAATATATTATTAAAACCTGTGCAAACTTCGAAAATCTCATTTACTAAAAGCTTCTTACGTTTTTCTCTCAGGTCTTTGAAAAATCCAACGACAAGAATTTGTTGATTGGTATTTGAATATTTTGAATGCCGAAATTAAATTTAAGAAAAGACAGCAAGTAGACGGGAAGAATTTAGTCTTTCCTCGAGAGAACTGCGCTTAAATTTCTTGCGAGATCTTGTGATGAAATTTGCTGACGTGTTCTATGAAAAAATTGCATGATCGTTTTCTGAGAAAATTCCCTATAACGGGAGGTCATTTGCACTAGTGTTTTCAAAGAGATCATAGAATTTTTTCTTTCCTGATAGCTTGTGCGAGATAAACAAAACAATTTGTATTCGTGTCCTCCTAGGGAAATTTCTGTGTCTTGCTATATCGACCACAAGAGTTTTATTACTTTAATTGTGAATACAATACGAATCAATTTATGTAAGAGGAACATTTCTTTATAGGAAAAAAGTATTTGTCAACGTTTACAGTGCTGTGCAAAAGTAAGAGCATGTCTGTAACCCATGAATCATTAAATAGAAACGGACCACTTTAGCCCTGATGACCAGTGTCCATGTCCACGCGTCTATCATCATGCAGGAGAGAATTATCCTTCTCGATATAGCGCACAATAGAAGCAATCGCATTTCTGTAACCGTAAGCACTGAAACCCACGATGATAGTTGAGGAAACCGTCGATTCCATATTGCGTTATCACCTTTTTGAAAGCACCGGCAGCTAGGTCAACGCCACCCCAGGTATTGTAGTAATCCGTTCCCGTGATACCAACACGCCTCAACATGTCGCGGTTGAAGTTGAAGGCAGAGTAGTTGGTCGAGTCACCAGTCTTGGATGAATCATAGTCAGCAGGATTGAAAGTATTCGTTTCTTGCATACCAACGGCCACAGCAAGAGCGAGATACGCATCATAAAGACCAGCCTTCTTCAGGGCTTCAACATGCACTCTCTTGTTATGTCCATAGCTACTACCATAATTTTTCACGGGAGCAGTTCTATCGCCGGGGCGTTAATATTCAGAGTTGACAAGTATACACCAGCATCGACAGAACAGATTGCCAAAAGTATGACGAAACCGAGAATGATGGGGAATTTCATCTGAAAATATTCATCTTTAGAATACTACTCTGTTCGATACTCGTTGCTAGATTAGAAATAGTTCAGCTGATAAAACACTGACTATCTTCTGGAGTTAGTCAGATGGAAGCTAGAAGGTGCATAGTTTCAAGTTAAGGTGAGCTATTGGGCCTACCTCGATGAACTGACAGCAGTGTTTCGGTTTTTCAAGATGATTGCTTTGATGGCCACGGTTTACTTTCACTTTTATATACAGCAGTATTCGTAATCTCCTCTGAAACCGAATATCATGAGAAACACAATAGGGGAAGAATCAACGAAAAATGAAAGTAGCATTAGTAGTCAATCCATGCCAGGTGTTTCAATGATGAAGAGCCGTCGGCTTTGAAGATTGAAAGTATGAAACCTACGTAGGTTGATGTGCAGAGTAGGGATGACACTTTCCCGTTCCTTTCCTTTTTAACGGTAAAGTTGTATCTTTTATAATAATGCATATCTTTTTCTTTTCTAAGAAAAAGGAAAGAAAATGATTTACCTTTCTCAACAATAGAAAGAACAAGAAGGAGACAAAATGTTTCTATTTTTCCCTTTCTTTCAATATTTTGATTGGTTGACGTTGCTGGGCATCGTAAAACTGGTCTAAGTTAGGCTCCGCAGTAGATGCCTCGTACTTTTTGAAGCTTTAGCGACGCACAACAGACAATTCATTGGCAATTTCTGCTTTCTATCGTTTATTAAAATATTTTCTACTATATTGCAACTAATATGTTTTATTTTATAGCCTAAATTCGTATATTTTCTCTATTCTAACTTATTTTCGTAAGACACAAAAAACGAAATAAACAGAAAAAAATAATAAGTCTTTGTTTTTCTGTGAATCTAATCACAAATATTGTTCAGTTTTTCAAAACCATCGATAAACGAAGCGTTTCAGGTGTTAGAGATGATCTTTCCTTTCTCTGGATGTAACCAGCAACACTAAATGCTGATTCGGCTGCGACAGAGGTGGCTGCAATGATATTGTATTTTCTAACAAATTTAGATAACAGTGGCAAACGGTGTTGATTATCAGACCAAAATATTTCTATACGCTCTTCTGCTTTAACAGACGGAACGTATAGTCCAATTTCTTCTTTGATCGTTAAAGGTTTTATTTTGGTGTTTGTTGTTGACTTCCTTGATGTTGAAACTCATCAATTTAACATGTCCATTCCAGTATGTTTTTCTTTTTGGGTTGGTGTTATACACGAGGATGAGAGTGGAGATATTGATGTTGTGGTTGCAGCTGTTAACGATAATTGTTTGGAGGCATCTTGTTTGATTTTTGCTTCGTGCATTATGAATGCTTCAGCTTCTCCGACGTCTTCTTCAGATAAATCTTTAAATGTTGATGGATCTAGATACGACGCGATCTAAAAGGTGAAGTTTACAATATTATACACAACCGATGAGGTTTGAATAGAAGAGAGCGAAAGTAGCAGCGACTACTCAAAAAGACTCGCTGTTTGCACAAACAGCGAAACACAAAGCACATTAAGAATCGGGGCAAGCACAGAGTTTCTGGTCTAGGTTAGAAAAAGTGATGCGATTTCTAAGATTTAAGAGTAAAAAGTTGCTTTTAAAGCATATCTATGTTTTAGCAGAGCATCAAAGCGTCTGTCACGCCAGCTTGCCGACAATTTTCGCATATTCTGAAAAGGTATGGCTGGTTCGAAGGTTTTTGATCGTCCTTAAGAAATCACTAATTTCCTCGAAAATTCTTCGAAATAGAAGTAACTTACGCATGAGAGATGGCACGAAAGCATTACGCATTCTTTTTCGTCCTATCCATCATGTGACTATTCAGTACAGAGTTTCTTTTCTCTTTCTTCTATCGTATATATTTGTTCTGCGAAACATGATAGCGGAAAAAACGAAAAGATTTTGCTTTCGCTTTCTTGCGTCTTTCGTTTTCATGTTCATGCGAAAGTGGTGAAGAACATGATTAATTAATAGCAAACAATCTAGAGAAGTCACGGCTTGATAAAAGGAAAACGTCGAGTCAGAAAATAGAGAAACATCACAAAATCTTCAAACATCATGTAAAATTTTCAAACATAGTAAAATTATTTACTCCCTAAATTTATATGTCCTAAATTACAATACTGATCTCTCGAGTAGAGAGAGATCTACTTTTTTGCTCTACTTTATTTCTTTTAGCAATCATTCACATTATCTTCTATAGATCAAATGTGACAATTCACTTTCGAATAATATACAAAAGTGGCATTCCACTTTTGTGTTCCAAAATGGCGAAACTAACCAAAGAAAACAAAAGTCTTTTTCATTTTCTTCCGCTTTATAACATGTCACACTTCATCGACACAAAGGAAAGAAATATATACTACAACTTTCGTATTATACGAAATGGATGATCACTGAGTTAGTCTAATTTTATTTTCATTCATTTTAATACATAGCGAGAGAAATTGTATATTTAGAGAGTTAATTTTAATACAAAAAGCACATTAAAAGTAAGATTTCTGTCTGGATTTTCCAAAATAGCAATTGCCTCACTCGATTGAACTGTCATATGATATCTGACGAACACTTTTATTATTTATCAATATACAATGTGTTCGGTTTTGAACTACTATTTGTTGAGAAATGAAACATTTTCAAGTCTAATCAGTTCCGACCACTTCTACTTCCTAGCATGATAAACATGTCTAAAATATTCGCAGGTACGATTATGAATTGTAAAAGCTGATTTTTTCGTACACGAATAATAATACAATCGGGTGAAAACCGAGTGAACCATGGTAAAAATGCACGCTCTACACAGTTGTGTAGACTAAATGTGTCAGGCATGAAGGCTGCAGTTGCACGAGCTTTCGGGACAACCTGATATCTGCTTCGAATTTTTGTCAGAAAATAAACTCGAAGAAACCTATTTTATTTAGATTAGACATTCAGTATTTGGTTTCTACAACCAACTATTCACTGACTTCGAATTAATAATGCCAGATCTCAAGACAATGTATAATGGCATTCTGAAGTATCTAATGCCTACGGTCGTTCTCCTAGGCATGTTTGGCCTACCTGTTTCATTTGCTCAGCTCATAGTTGGAGCAATCTATTTCCAACAATGTCCAGGCAACGCCATGGTTCCCACCTTTAATGTCGTTTCTGGTGTCCTTGGATTAGTGTTTGAATTGTCGATTTTGATTTTTGGTGCCATTTACACGATGAGAGAGGACAAAGAGGCGTTGTGGAAAGCAATAGAAGCAAGCGGTCTGTTTATTTTCATCTTTTCTCCTCCATGGTACTTTTACGGTTGTTCATTGGTGAATTTGGGCTATACTACAACATGTGCATCGCCTGTCCAAACGATAACTAATGCGGTCGTTATCATGTATTGGGCTCCTGTAGCATTGTTTGTTGTGCTTATGATATGCCTGGCATATTGTAAATAACAAGGAAATTTTGAACAACAGACAGAAATTCAAATTCGTGACAGTTTTTACTCAATTTACTCATGATTTCTATATAGTCTATTGTATTGTCTTATTCAAACTTATCAATGTATGTGTGGGTTTGGTTGTGTATAAAATATAGATTGTTTTGGGGTGAATGAGATTGAAATGAATGAATTCCAAGCTTCTTACGACGCGTTTCGTCTCTCTAGCTTTGTCTTTATAGATATAACCAGGCCTCGCAGCGGTCTTTATAAAAAATTAGGATCATGACAGGATTTTGGGCAAGAGAAATCAGGATTTTTATGAGGACAGCAGGATTTACAGAGAAGTACCGAAACACGTATACTATCACGAGAAAAACTTCACCTGACGACAGCAGATCAATTTGCAAAGTCAATCGAGAAAGAAGTCCGAAATGGGTCGATCGTAATTCTGAAAATCAACCTAGATGTATCTTATATGAATCGAAAGCTCACTGAAAGGCTCATCGAACTAGACCTTGATATATAATCTCATTTTCCATTTCCTCTCTTTTCATGATTTCTGGGTGATTTTTCTTATCAGTTCTACGGTTGAGGCAGGTCATTTTTTAATTTTACGAAATTTCGGCTATACTTGATAGTGGTAGTGAGACAACTGCCAGTCTCCTTTATTTCTTGAGGACATGAAGTTCTTATGGAGAAACATCGATCTCTTGACCAGAAAACATGAAGTTCGTGTGAAGAAACATCGATTTCTTCAGGAGAAAACATGTAGTTCTTATGGAGAAACATTCATTTCTCGTTGAAAAAACATGTAGTTCTGGTGGAGGATTAATCAATGTTTCTGCAGAAAAACTACACGTTTTCTCCTGAAGAAATCGATGTTTCTCCACAAGAACTTAATGAGGTGCTTGTAAAGGTTCTCACCAATCTTGTGCGTATGAATTTGGAGTGTGAACATGCTTCTATCATTGGTAAAATTAACACGTTTGCTCGAGCCGTAATGGAGAAATTCAATCTTTTCCGATTACCTTACTTAGGGCCCGCCCCGTAAATATAAAGTAAATATAAATGAATAACGCTATACATGAGACGGCTCGCTTGTTTGTCAAATGATTCTTTTGTTGCTTGTGCAACATAGCAACCCTATGCATTTTTTAGTTTTGTTATTCGATTTTTTTGTTTCTTTTTCAATGTTTTCATCAATTACAAACTCTATTGAGGAGGGCTTCTCATATCATTGATGCATCGACTTACTTCTCGTTCGTCATGAATCCAAGAGAAACTAATTCTTTCTTTAATTTATGTGCGACTCGTGAAAACTTTACGTAGTTGGTTCTAGTACCACTTGACACCTCTCGATAAGCTTTATTCGATGCTGCTATCTGCGTCACGTAATAATGTCTCTTCAGTCGTTGTGTAGTGTCTAGAGTTGTTGCTGTTAATGACCAGACGCAAGGACATACATACACAAGAACTTCATCCTTTTTCCTGCACTAGATCTAATGCCTGTCTAGATAACGCACGTGTGTGAAGCTTTAGAAGACAAGTTAAACGACTTACTTTAGTTAAAACATAACCTACGTGCGCTGTCCAGTCTAGATTTGACCTTAAAATTAAGCCTAATTGTTTTTGTTTAACAACATAAGAGATAGGCGACTTATTGATCAAGACGGGTGGTAAAGAAGCGAGAGTATCGCGTTCACGAGTAGAAAAAATCATAGCTTTACATTTATCAACATTTAAATACAATTTCCAAGTTACCGACCATTCGTAAATTAAGAGTAAATCTTTATTTACTTGGTCTGTAACTTTTCTAATATTGTTTTTCTCTGTAACACGGTAGAGTGAGACATCGTCAGCAAACAATCGCATTGTTGCACTAACATTATCACTAAGATCATCAATAAAAATCAAAAACAGTAACGGTCCCAAGATCGAGCCTTGGGGCACTCCTCTATCAACGATTCTTTCTGACCATGTAATACCGTCTACCGTAGTCATAATTAGGGCTGTGACAGTTCATAGTTTCTTGTACTGCAGTTTCTCGATAACGGGAACTGTTTTTCAGTTGCCGTTCAATAAACGGGAACGGTTTTTCAGTTTCTGTTCTGAACTAGGAACGGTTCACCAGTTCTGGTTTCGCGAACGGGAACTACAGTTCTTTTTGAACTGGAAACTAACTATAGAACCTGGACATAATGCAGATGGTCTATTGATCTTTCATGCCGATATTCTTTAGAGTGGTTGCTTTTAATTAGAACAGAAATACTCGACGAGCGTAGTGTTCTCTTCATCTTGATCTTATTCTTGAACTTTTTCCAAAAAAGTTTTCACCATTGTATAGCTGATAGTCTCAGGAATCGAACAAAAAAAAAAATTTCAGTTTATCATTTAAAATGAGGGAGTTCTTGCCCGTATAATACACTGCACTTCATTTCTGTTCTTATTAAATACCGTATTTATTTAGAACAGACCACTGAATATATGCTTTTAATTAGAACACG